TTTCTGACTGTTTGAACTCACAGGAAACACTTCCTGGCAACAGATGGGAACCCTGGAGACTGGCACTGCCAAGGGACACTCAGATGACGTAGTGTCTTCACATCCTGCATGGGGCTCCTTGTGATGCATGGGGAACACAGCCTCAGAGGGGGCAAGAAGGTGCCCAAGGTCACACAGCCAACCAGAGGATGCAGAGGTGAGGTAAGGTGGGAGTGGGCATCTGTCTGCTTCCCTTGGTCAGCTCAGGTCTCCTATGCTCCGTAGTCGTAGTCCTCCCACCCCCACCGCAGAAAGGGAAAGTGTTTGTAGACCCAAGGCCAAAGAATGTGAAAGTGAAATCTGAGCCTTTGTCTTGGGAGAAGAACACAGAGAAGCCAGACACTCTGGACAAGCAAAGATCTGCTTACACTGCAGATGGGAAGCTCCATGCAAGGCTCATTGCCGCGCAGGTCTGACCTGGGAGGACAGGCTGAGTGGGGGCAGCAGAGGACTCCCGAGAGAGCCAATTAAAGGGCCAATCTGCTTCCAGGACCCACAGGAGCCGGGGGTGGGTGGGGTGGGGGAGGATCACCTGCCTCAGTCCTTAGGTCTGCCTGGAATTATTTTGCCTGAACCTGCCACCGGCTCCTGCCAGCGCAAGAGGAGACCTTGCTGGCCCCCACTTGTCCACAACCCGGCTCCTCGTGAAGTCTCATCTGTTCTCCTGGCTCTGGTCTGTTTCTCTCTTTTTCCGTGGGCTCCTGCATCCAGGAAGCACAACCAAAGGCCAGAGTCTCTGCCTGCCCTGGGACATCTCGGGCTCTGAGTGACTAGAGGGAATGTGCTTGTGTAAGAATGTGCTTGTGCAAGAGAGAGAGAGAGAGAGGCATGAGAGGAATGTGGACTGTGCTGGGTGCTGTCCCAGACACTAAGAGGACTAAGTGCAGACCTACATTCTCACAAGCAGCTGACGTGTGTGTTTGTTCCTGGCCACAGATGTGGAGGGGCCGAAGGTACTGAGATTAATGTGACTCAGGCCCCATCTATCCACCTCCATTGCAATCTTGAACTGACCCCTGCTGGGTTTGTGTCTTCAAGCTCCTCCCCCTCCTCTCTGCCCCTTTGACTAGGGCTTCCCTGGACACTCTGCACCCCATGATCTCACACCCTGAACCCCAGAGGACAGCTACATCTTGCATCTGAGCATCCCTGACCTGATGCAGGGCCTACTAGTTCTGGCTCTAACAAGGAAAGAGGATGCCATGTGTTAATCTTTAAAAATCATAAACAAGGCCATGGCATTCCCAGGCTTAAATCCTTCATGGCTCCCCTCTGCTTTAGGAAGAACAATAGGTTTCTTCAAAGTGGCCCCCCGCAGTATTTGGTAGGGCCCTGCCTCTCGAGCCTCACCTTGCTCCCCACTCAGTTTTTATCACTGTTACGTGATGCTGCAGTTTTAAAATGTGCTATTTCTCTCCCACTCAGGGCCTTTGCATGTGCTGATCCATTGGCCAGGTATGGCCTTCCCACCATCCCCCGTTTGCCGCAGAAACTTCTACTTCTATTTAATTAGTGTGTAGGTTCAAGCATAACTCTTGAAAACTCCTTCCCCGGTGCCCCTATTAGCTCAGGAGTTCCCTTCAAAGCTCTCCTACGTCTTGTTCCCTTTCTTCCAGATACTCATAGTAGTTTGTCTTCATACATGTATGTGGTTAGTATTTATCTAATGCCTGCTTAGTTTAATAATGATGCTAACTACCACTGATCATTTGTTCTATGCCAGGGATCGTGCAAAGTCCACCACAAGTATTATTTCATTTAAGTCCCACAACTCTGTGAATTAGTTCTAATTTTTATACCCATTTTATAGATGAGGCACAGAGTGATTAAGGGACTTGCCTCAGGTCACACAGCAATTAGGTGGTAGATGGACAAGGATAACTTGTCAATTTTAGTTACATCCAATGGCTAAAACCGTCTCCTGTCATCTTCTGCTTTGCTCTTCCTCACATCCCCCAGGACCTGGTGCAGGGCCTGACACGTGTAGCCACTCAGTTGAGGGAAGAGATGGAAGAGGACATGGCGGGAAGGGAAGCAGGAGGGGACGCTGTGCCAGGGGTCCAGAGGAGCAGCCCCTAGAGGCCATGTCGTCTTGTCCCACCAACACCAGTAAGTGTGATTTTTCAACAGGGGGTAGAAGGGGCCACATGGGAACCCAGATGCTCAGGAGAGCTGGGCAAAAGGCCAACACAGACCAGTGCCTCGGGATTAGAGGGCCCAGGAATGGCGCAGTCCAGGGCTTCTCAGCCATGTTTTACCAAATCACAGCCCTTTCCCCACCTCCTTGGGCAGGGGCGTTGAGCCTCAGTTACGGGCAGGGGTTATCAGTCTACGGATGGACGGGGACACTGTCTCCTGCCCGGCCCATGCTGGTGGTGGGAGTGGACTGACTGTGGAGAGGACCCTTTTCATGGTGTCCTCGGCCTCTGCCTCTAGGAGGCCCTCTCTGCGGAAGGAGCCTACTCCTCTCCGACCTGTTTCGAAGACCACGTATGCTGGGGTGCAGACGAGGCAGGGTCCTCTACCCTGCCACACCCAGACCCCAGCAGCCTCAGCCATTCTCAGGGCCTGGGAGGTCAGCAAGCCTGGGAGGCTTCCACCCCAGCTCCCTGGGCCCCCTTTGAAGAGGATCAGGTTCCCCCACAAACATAATTGAATGAAAATATGAGAGAGAAAAGGTCTTTGTTCTCCCATTTACAGTGTCAGAAAATATGTAACAAATTAGCCGTTTATGAGGTAAGAGGAACGCAGAAGTGGTGGGTGGGGTGGCACAAGGGGCCTTTCAGCTCTGCGTGGGGGGCTGTGGGGAGCCAAGCTCAGGACCCATCAACAGTGTGCGGTGGCTGCTGGCTCAGGGCAGCCGTGCAGGCAAATGTGGTGCCAGCTGGTGGGGACCAAGATGGCTTTCAGAAGAGTGGGCCCCATTTCCCAGCCTGCCCCAACAGCTCCCCTGTTCACCCTAACCTTTCTTCCCCACCATGACTACTATCTGGGAGGGCTGGCCTGACGTGCTCAAGGCACAGATGCCTATGTTGCAGAAACCTCCGTGGCTTCCCTGATGGGTGCTCTGAGCCTCAAGACAGGGGATGTGGCTTTCTCTCAATTACCTTTGATTAGCCCAAGCACCAGGTGGTCACAAAGGCCAGGGGTGGGTGCGCGCTGGGTAGGAAGGAGGTCCTCTGCAGGGAGGGGGAAGGCCGAGTCCCTCTGCGGTCTTGTCCTGGCCTCACCCAGTATTCAGAATCACAGGGGGCATGGGATGAGAGCAACCGGAAAGACACTCTTGGCTTCTCATGTTGGCGATGAGGTGGGATTTAACATTGCCTGGCTTGACCCCCATAAGGCTCTGTGTGCAAGGGTTCATAAGCCCGTCACTCACATTTGGTGGCTTTAGCATCTCTTGTTGTGAGATTTCTGAGTCCACGGTCAGACTGCATGTTTTTAGAGACTATGTTTCCCATTCTTGGTATAGTGGCCGGGCTAGGTGCATGGATGGGACTCCTGCTGTCTGTGGCCCTGGGGATGGGACTTTCCAGTCCCTACCTGAGCCCGGCACTCAGCCCTGGCTTCCCTTCCAGTTGGTCAGGGGTGGGAGGCTCATGAGGATGGCTCCAGATCTTTGAGCAGAGAGGCCAGTGAGATCATGGGCCCATGCCGGTCTAGTGGGAGGAGTCTCTGCAAAAAGCGGGGTGCCGGGACCCTGCATGAATATCCTGAGTGTTTGGTCTGCAGTCACAAACACATCGCTTTCCTGGATCTGATTTTATTTATTTTGATTGGATCTTAACAGTTCTTTACAAGGCTGAAACCGAAGCTGCCTGGGGTCCTCTGGAGACTTGCTAAAACTTCAATTGCACCCAGTTTAGTGGAGAAACTTGAAAGTTAATCAGTGGTGAGGGACAATTTGCCTCATTATTTCCAGCCCTGGAATTTGGCCTCAGTTGGAATTCTGGGCCTGGTGTGGACACGGTGCTCTTCGGTGAACACAGCAGGGTCTGTGGCCTATTGGTTTGCTCATGCTCATGCAGAGCCTGGGCTATATGGGTCGATACTCCCTCTGAGGGTGGGTAGTGCCAGGAAGGATTTCCCACTTGGGGAGAACAAGGACTCCCATCCCAGGTTCAAGGCTGCTGCCCCAGATGGGGGTGGATGGACCCTTTTTAGATATGGCAGTCTGAGGGCCTCTGAGGGCTGAGCCCTGCACTGCCATCTGGGGAGGCAGAGTTGGAATCCAATGCAGCTGCTGACCTTGGAAGGTAGGCCAGAGACTTGGGGCTCAATTCCAGTGCCCATCCCACACTCCTGGTCTCAGGTCCCACCTTCCCTCAACAGGCAGGAAAAACAATAATATTACTGTATACGTAAACAGTAATGTTAAGTTCACAGATATTACTTAGTAAGTACTGAGACTCACATACACAATCTCATTTCATCTACCCAAATCCTGTGAAACAATTATTAATATTCCAGTTTTAAAAATAACAAAACTAAGGCTCAGAGAAACTGAGCAACTTGTCAAGGTCACACAGGTAGTGGTAAGTTTTGATTTCAGGCCTTTCTTTCCTCCTGGATCTTTTGACGTGCCCTGTCCTTCCTTCCTCTGGGGATGTGTGCTGGGAGGCTGCCCTATCTGATGTTTGTCCCCCTGCTCACTACTTCAGTCATGTAGAAAGTCCCTCAGCCAGTCCTACCCCAAGTGCACAGGTCCGTAAGCTCTGGGAAGAAATGTGTTCCCGGCTGTCCCAGGAGGGCTGCTGAAGCTTCAGATGTCATTTTCACTCTATGGTGCAAGCAGGCAGCAGGCATTGGGTAGCTGTGCTGCATAAGGCTTAGTGCTATAGAGTCTTGAGAAGGAGACAGTCAGGGAGCAATCAGGGGCTCTGTGGCTGAGTCCACTGTGCCCTGCTCTGGCAGATCAGTTCACTTCCTCAGTATCTTCATCTGAAATAAGAAAGCCCAGGGCTACTTGAGAGATGGTGGGGACTGCAGGAGCTCGACTCAGCTCAGGGACTGGGCTGGGGGAGCAGAAATCAAGACTCTCGAGCTTGGCACTAGAGGGAAGCTGCCTGTGTACCCAGGATAGGAGTTACCACGGTGATGTCCCTGCCAGGCATGCCAGGGTCGTGTGACACCTCTATGACCTCATAGCGGCTGCCACATCCCCAGACTGCTCTAACTTCTACACAGTGCTTTTCCCAAGGAGTGGGAGCCTGCCAGCCTGTCTCCGGCCAGCCCACCGCCCCTGGAACTCTATTGTACCCTGTGAGTCTAGAAAGACCTGCAGAGCTTAGGGGAAGCCAGCCTTTCTCCAGACCACCCCCCAACCCTTGTCACCCTTTCTGTATGCCCTTCAGGCTGTCCTCATCCCTCTTCAAAAGCAACGGATGCAGACATCTGAGGAAGCAAAATATTCAACAAGGGTTGGAAGGAACAATGAGGCGCCGCTGAGTAACTCTCAGCCAACCAGAAAATGTAATTAACCTCACGGCCCACCCAGAGCACTGTGTCATGTGTGTGCTCCCTGCTAACACTCACACGTTGCCATGCATGTGTGCACTCCCAGTCTCAATCCAGACTCCAAATCTCCCTGCAGAGCTCCTTGCCCCAAGTACCTGCATACAGGCTCCAGGAGTGTGCTCACACTTTGCCACTCTCCCCAGCTCCCGACACACACACCCACAGGCCTCCCTAGTCTGCCACTGGTCACCTCGGAGCTCTCCTCCCTCCTGCACACCCATGGGCTGCTCCCGGGAAAGCCCACATCTGTGCTGGGTATTTGCGACCCAGAAGTGAGGTCATTGCTTGGTTTCTGGATTCTGATGTGATGTGAAGTCACTTCTCTTCTATCTTGGGCTCAGACCGGCCCCTTCCAGTCCACCGCCAACTGAGCCATCCTTTCTCCTCTTAGGCAGTGGTGAGCTGGGGACAGATTGTGCTGTGGAATTGAATCCTGGCTCACTCAGTGGCCTTGGGCTAGCTTCTGGGCCTCTCTGAGGACACCTGTAAAATGGAGATATCTTTCTTTTGGGCTATGAAGGTGATCGTGTACATACTATGCTTTTCTTTTCTTTTTTTTTTAACCCTTTTAATCCTTCAGGACAGGTGCTATTGTGATCCCCATTTTAAAGGAAGCAGGCACATAGAGTTGCACATAGAGTGGCAATACTCGGCTGGGATTATCCTTAGCAGCATTACCCTCCCCTAAGATGTCTTTCCATTCTGCTTCTGGGAGCCAAGAGTCAGTGGTAAGACCTGGGGGCACCATGGATCCCCTGAGGCAGGTGGTCTTGCAAGGGAAAGCTGAGGCCCCATGCAGGAAACCACATTCTGAGAGTGTCACCCAGGCCTCACCCTTGGATTGCTGAGCCCAGAGAATCTCCATCCTATCAGCTGCCCTGAAGGCCCATCATCCCAGAGCTACACTCCTCTACCTGGAGGGAGGAGTGATGAGACCTGATGCTGGCGAGGCCATTAGTGAGCACACAGAGGCCAGCCCCGAAGGGCCATGGTGTGAGAAGGTCCTGCTGTTGCTCACATGTTTCCTGGGACACAGTAGGTTTTCATCTGGGGAGACCTGGTACAGGCTGGGAAGGCAGATGGGCAATCTGTAGTTGCACAGGGGAAACAGACAACAGAAAGTCTGCCAAGTTGCTGCAGTGTCAGCACATTCTAGACAATGCACTGAAAAGCCCATCCTCGGCTTCACTTCCAAGTGAGAACAAGGGCCTCACTGCCCCAGTAGGGTCATGCCAGGGTCAATGACTGGTGCACAGGCTTCAGGTGATACTGGGAGGCCTCCAAGCTCTGCCAGCACCATCCTGCCGAGGCAGGCTTCTGCCCTTCCTGACCTCTCCTCCCCAGAGCACTGGCCCTTGCTTGCATTCTCTGGTAATGGGAAGCTCACTAGAGCCCCAGGCTTTGAGAAAAGTCCTTTCTTAACAGGCATGCCTGGTTCTAGAGACTAGATATACCCATTTGCTGGGACAGATGGAGCAGGAGGCCCTGGTGTTCTGGAGGAGGACAGGACAGCCTTGCACCAGACGGGAGCTTTCAGTTAAGCAGGACAGGAAAGCAGAGACCATGGCAGAGGAGCAGCACCAAAGCTGCAGAGGCTGTACAGGTCCTTGTTCCAGGGAGCCATGTGTAGGGTCTCAGTGGGGAGTTCTGAAGTCTGAGTGTGAGTGAAAGTGCACCCATGCCTGTGTGCGTGCATATCTACCTCTGATTGTTAAGAGGGCACACGTGACATAGTGAGACCAAGACTCAAGTCTGAAGCTGGCAAACCTCTTGTGCAGAGCTCCAGTGACCACCTACTGACCATGAACTTCATCTCTTAGGAGCTCTGCACCCTGCAGGCTCGCTGGCCATTACGAAGTCCAATGGGTGGCTAGGGTCACTATGCCCATGTCACAGACGGGAAGCTGAGGCCCAGGCACACAGCTCACGGGTAGGCAGAGGAAATGGCACTCAATCCCATGTCTGCCTGACTCCAAAGGCCATGTCCTGTCCACGCCACATCTCAAACTCAAATAGAGGACACAGGCAGAGGACGATGTGGGAGAGAAGTTCTTGCAACCAAGAGGCTACACAAGTGGGACGAATTACTAAGGGTGATGTTTGAGGCCCCTGATCCTTTAATAGTTTCTTTCCTTCTGCTTTATTCCATTGTTCCCAGACCCTGAGCTTCCTGCAGAGCAGCTAATCGTGGGCAGTTACCACAGTGGCACATCATAAACAGTCTGTAAAAGGCCCAGGAGCTCCGCTCACACCCTCCCAGAGCCACAGACTCCCCAGCACATCTGCATACACATGGCTGCCCAGTGGAGGAGGCCAGCGTGGCCACAGCCAGCCCAGCCACAGCCAGCCCGTCCAGGGCCTATCCGGCTGTGTCTTCATCCTGGTCACAGACCCTTCCCGGGAAGATTGAAGGGCCATTTTACTCCTGGGGGATTGCAGGCTCAGAGAGGGGGGTCTTCAGCAAGGCCACAGAGTGAGCAAGCTGCTGGTGAAATGGTTGTTGCACAGAGTAGGAACAAGAATAAAAGTTGAACCCACTGGGCTTCTGTCTGGATGATTCTTCTGCCACACCTTCACCTGGTCAGCACCTGGACTGAGCATCCTTCCTCTATGGGTTTTCATGGATCTCTGGGATTGGATTCTGGGCCCCACAAGGACAGGAACACAGGGGTCCTGGGCATAGCTCCCAACACCCAGCCTGCCCAGAAAGACTCTCACTTCAGGGATCACTGTCTATACACACAAGAAGGACCCCACCCCACCTTCAGGGAAGAGACGAGGAAGATGCTGAGTTCTCCAAATGTAGCACTTCCCCTTTAAGGGAAACGGATCCTCTGAAGTTGTAACATCATGTGAAGCCTTGGACTAGGGGGGTCAGGGGCCTGAGTTCAGGTTCTGTCTCCACTGCTAACTTGCTGTGTGGCATTGGGCAAGTTCCTACTCTGCATATGCCCCCATGCTCCCAGATGGTAGATGCTCAGTAAACATTTCTTAGCCCACCAGCAGTGATTCTCAGTGGGGTGAGTGAGGTGTCAGACTGGGCTGGGCTTGGGTGACAAGGTCATGTGTAGTCTGAAAGTTAAGCAGCTCAGCTGCCTTGAAATGGCCTGTGGTGTCTCCATTCATCACACACAGGGCAGGGCAAGAAAGGCTGGGCTGAAGCTAAGATAACAGACTTAACCGAGAGTGAGGAAGTACCTGTCTAGATAAAAGGAGAGTTCTAATTTTACCACTGAGTTTGGCTGTAGTTTCATTCATGGAATATAATTTCTTCAAAATATATTTAATTCATGATGCGTAATGCATTTTATTTATGTATATATATTTATTTAACATGAACAAAAGAGACCCTGAGATGTTCACGATGAGTTAGAAGCAGCCATAGTGTCCAAAATACAAAGAGAAAGAATTGAGAAATGTTGTCCTGGGAGAAGAGATACTTCCAGAGAGCCAGCCTTGCAGGTGATGCTTAGGAGCCACTGGAATGTGCCAGCCTGCTCCTGCACTGACCATCACAGTCATGTGCTGCCGCATCTGGGGCCTCATCATCCTACCCGGTCAGTCAATGGGTCCGAGCTCCATCTGAGGCTGGGTGAGGAGGTGGAGGACACTCCTGGGGCCCCTGATGAGGACTGCTCAGAATGCTACCCAGGCTCCTCTGGTGCCTTTACCACCATCCAGCCAAGCAGACTCCAGCTGCTGGGCTGTGTGACTATGGAGGCTGCCCCTGAGTTCCCCAAGCCACTGGCTCAGCCCTCCAGAAACACAAGTGGATCAGGGAAATCTGAAGGGAGCACTGAAAATGCTTGATCGCTCCAACAAGAAGTACATTTTCAGCACCCGCATGTGCTCTGCAAAGGGACCACCTGGATTCAAACGCCCGTCACCCTCTCTGTCTGTGAGGCCTGTGGCAAGTCCCTCAGTCTCTGTGCTCTGCCTTCAGGCCCTTAAATTGCCACAACATAAAACATTTGGAGGTGGAGATGGGGCAAAGGAGACACACAAAGGAGGTCCTGATGGCCCAGTGCTTGCAAGAAGTCTTCTCTTCTCTCAGGCTTCTAGAGCAACTCCAGAAAGGGTCTATCAGAAAGGAATCATGGGCACAGCCACTTGTCACTACTCTGAGACAGGGAGCAGAAGTGGGCAACAGCCAGCCACTAGCACTTTGGCTCACACTGAGGCCCACTTCCTGACCTTTCTAATAGGAGGTATTTCAGTAAAGATTCAGCCACCCCCCCCCCCCGAGACTGCCCCTTCAAAGGTGCCCCTCAAAGCCCAGGCAGGTGAACCGGGATGCTGGGCCTCCAGGAGGCAGCAGTCCCCGCAAGTCCAGGTGAGCTTTGCTATGGTCCAGCTTGGTGACCTTGGGCTGGGAGCCTCAGTTTCCCCCCATAAGTGGGGGAGTAGGGAACAATCCAAACTTCCTCATAGGCTTGACTGAGGTATTAAGCCAAATAGGTGCTTAAACACTCAGCACAGGCCACACACACAAAGATGTAACCTAATGGGAGATGTCCCTCTTTCTCTCCGGAACCCCAAGGTTCAGCTTCTGTTTCCTGTTACCCCATGGGATAACACTGTTCCTGTTCTGGCTGTCCCTGAAGTTCCGAAGTCCTGCCAAATTTCCTCCATCATCACAAACAAGGCCCCGGAACTGAAAATCTGCTCCACACCTGCCATGCGCCACCTCTACCTGGAAGCCCATGGAAGTAGTTTAATCTGTCATTCAGCCCCATAGCGTGGGGGACAATGCAGGCACCCCGAACTCTTGCCCCTCTGCCCTCTTTCACTGTGCCATCCACCATGAGTGGATGGCACATGACAGCTATTCTTTAGAACTTGCAGCCTTTGAGGAACACAGAACAGGCCCTCAGCAAGTGGTTCCTTTTTGGGCCTTGAAGGCAGAGGCCAGAGGTGTGAGCCCCCTTATTCAGTGACTCTTTCTAAATGGCCTCTGGCTCGGATATGGGCTCCCATCCTCAGCCTTTCTTGAAAGTCTTTACTATTCTAGATGGACTGGATTTTACCCAGTGACAAAAAGAGCCCCGACATCAGGCATCTACAACCTCAAAGGTGGCCCTTAAAAGATCAACAAGTTCAGCTCTCACATGACCGGTGAAGCCCAGAGTGGTCTCATAGCAAACAGGCAGCAGAGGCATCAGGCCAAGCCCCATGCTCGCTGGTCCCTTGGCCACAGCAGGCTGCCTCTGTCCTGTATGTGCCTTCTGGGCCTTTCTGTCTGTGACCATCATCATGGAGGCTATGACAGTGATGATGGAGATTGTCACTGAAAGACAATGCTCTTGTTTGATGCCTGTGATGTGGGCAGGAAGGAGCAGGTCATGGCAGCCGAGGAAACCGGGGCTTGGAGGGGGAAATGACTCAGAAGGGTCCTATCCCTTGCCTTGTCTCTCGCTGAAAAGTTCCATTTGGACCATGGTTTTAGGGGTTGCAGTCCACAACTGGTGGACCCACTGCTTTTGGGCCTCTGGAGGGGGTGCTGGATGGCAATGGTGGGGCGCACATGGTGGAGCAAACTGCTCACCTCATGGCCACCAGGCCCCGTCGCCTAAAAGTTCCACTGCCTCCTAGCAGTGCTACCCTGGGGACCAAGCTTTTAACACATGGGCCTTTAGGGAAACATTCAAGTTCCAAATTCTAGCATCCAAATTCCAAATTTGTAATTCAGATTTACCCTCTCAGTGACCAGCCCCCAAGAGACTCCCAAGTCTACCTCTTAACTCTTCAAGCCACAGCTGAGCCCCTCCCCATCCTTGTCTCCTTCCTTTCATGCTCCATCAGTTCTAAGATCCAAGTTGGAACACAAACACCAGGCAGAGTCAGCAAACATTCCATGAATAAATTCATGCGTGACATTTAAGACACTCTGAAAACTGCTATCAACCGCACAGTCCTTTGCCACATCCCACTGTTCTCAGGATAAAGTCAACTTTGTCACTGAGCATCAGGGAAAGGCCTTCATAGGCTTTTCCTTCTTACCCGTGGTTATGCTCAAACTGTACTGGACTTCTTGAAAGATCTTCAAAAATGTCAAGCCCTCTCTGGCCTCTGAGCCTTAAATTTGCTTCTGTCCTCCACTCCAGCCAGCCTCTTCCATGCCTCTCTTCTTGATTTATTTCTGTCCATCTTTGGAAATTTCATCACTCCTGAGGCCCTGTCCTGTCTGGTTAGGAATTCTGTGCTCACATTGCTCTCTCTGAAGCCTCTCTGCCCCATCTCAGGATGGCCCCTTCAGGTAGCACATGTTCCTGCTTGTATATGCCTAAAAGTTTATCTCATAGAACTAGAGAATAGCAGAGAAGAGTGGTCAGCAGAGACTGGGAAAGGAGTGGGGAAGGGAAGGGTGGAGCAAGATGGGTCCATGGGTGTAAGAGTAATGTTACACAGCAGAGCAAGACGACTACAGTTAATTGGCAAGAATTAATTTCATAGCTCAGAATAGGTAGTAAAGAATATTTTCAATGTTCCCAATACAAAGAAATGACATACGTCTGAGGTGATAGATTTGGCCGTGACCACGATCTGATCATTACACATTGTATACATGTATTAAAATGTCATAGTACCCCGGGCATTTGCTAATTATAAACGTGCAATCTATTTGTCAATTGTAAATTAAAATAATACCTTAGTGATTAGCCTATCATTTTTAATCTTGAGTCAGCTTTTGCCTAAGTGATAATAGTAATAACAACACAAATTTATTATAAATGAAAAAGAGAGAAGAAAAGAAAGGAAATCTTTTAGCTGAGAATCAGAAGAGGACCTGGGTTCTAGCTCTGGTTCTGCTTTGAAGCCATATCACCTCCCTTCTCCAGGGCCTGGGGTTCCTCTCCTAATGAAAGGGACGTGACCCTGCTGTGTGGGCCTTTGAGGATCAGACAAGATAATAGTGGAGAAAGGGGGTTGGAGAGGTACAAAGCTTTTACCAGACATATAGGATGATGAATATTATTCAGGCACAAAGGAGGTTTCTCCAAGGCCTGTTATCTCTTCTTTATTTTCTCTCAAGGAAATGGCTCCAACCAGCCCGCCTGCATTATTGTTGGCACTGTGAGCCAGGGGAGAGGGAGGCAGAGAGGGAGAAGGAATCTTTAAGAGAGACTCTCTGGGGGACACTAATATTTTTAATAGTTTGTGGGTTATGAAGTAAATCTCTGTTCTCCGTATTATATATCTCAGCCGAACCCAAAGAATGTTTCCAGCGTCTCTAATGAAACTGAAGCAATAACCCAGCAGAGAGGGAGAAAGAAAGAAAGGGAGATTTATTTGCAGAGATGTTTGCTCAAAGAGAGGGGAAAGTGGCATGAGGCAGGGCCCCCCCCCCCACTCAGCCACATGCCCCCAGGCCCCGTGTGCCCTGCTTGTGGCCCTGGCCGCTGCCGGACTACCTGTTCTCACCTTTGAAGAGCACAGGCAGCCTCTTCTCCCCACTGTTGAAGTGGGGGAGGCACTGGGGCTTCCCTCTCATCATCTGGAGAGGAGGAAGCTCTCCAGCAGTTGGAGGACTGGCTTTTACAGCACGTGAGCAAGCCGGCTGCAGCCCGAGCCTCCTCGGCAGGAGAGCTGAATTATTAATAGGTCCTACCTAGGCCTCAGGAAAAATGCATGGAGTTTAAAAGGTCAGTGTGAATAACAAAACCAGACTTTCTGGGGAGTCAGAATGGATTTAAAATACACTCCAAGGAG